AAAATGCCCTTTTACCCAATCTACCCAAATTGTTTACTGCACCTGAGATGCTGAGTGGCTGCAAGTGCCATTGCTGCCATGAACAGCTGCATGCTGTTCCATATGGCCAGATCAAAAGGATGCCTACAAAAAGGTTCAAAATACTCCTACAACATTCTATTCCCTGGCAAACAACCTGGAAAGAAAAGTAGCTGCAGTGAGCATCAGACATCTTGAGGTGAAAGTGGCTATTCTTTGAACACTATCTCCCCAGTTCCCTAGAGGCTAGTGGTTCCCTTCTACTGGGAATGCAACTGTGAGCTGAACAGTAGCATCCACTTGCCCCAGGCTTCACAGTTTTGGAAATTAACTTACTTAGGAATTTTTGCTTCCTTTTTACTTGCAAGTCAAAGCAAAAGACTTCTGAGGGGATCAAGAGAGTATTTCCTATGGAAAACCCCTGGCACAGGAAACCCTTGATCTGAGTGTCTCCAAACCCCGGAGGAAGGCACTGGCACAGGAGCACAGGCGTGTGAGCATGTATTCTGAATTTTGGGTAATTATGCTCAGATTTTTCTAGTGCAGATAAATGGGCCAGGATTTATTATTTCAGTGTCTTAAAAAGGAATAAAGAAAAAAAATCCAAATGCCTTTCTGGATAGTTTTAAATTTACTCTTTCTTCTTGCCCCAAATCATCCATCACTTAAAAGAAACAGGGGAAGTCACCTTGATGAGGATTGAAGGAAATCTCACCAAGATATACTTGCAGTTTCCCGGTACTTATTCTGCTCCTGTGAACAAAGGGAAAGAATACTAAGTGGATTTCTCTTTACCCTAAAGGAAAACACCTGATACACATAGAGCTAGCTCAGTTCAGGGACATTAGTAAAAATTTCCTGTGTTAGTCCTTTTCAGTGCTGTGTTTCTTTTTGTCCTCTTAATCTTAACAGCAAGACAGACTCATTACTAAGGGGACAGAAAACGATAAATATAGTATGTTTTCCTTTTGCACAGGAAAACAAAGGTTTATTGAGAGGGCACTAATCTCACATCCCTTCATAACCATGACTTGATATGGCTATTGCACAAGTAATGGGACAAAGTGTCACACTGAGCTCCTGAAAACACTGTCTGCAGTCTCAGTGTTGTACACAGTTGTACCCTCTTACATCAGTATCTCCACACACCAGTTCATCTCAGAAAGATAAGAACATCGCCAGTGCTGTCCTCATAGTCACAAGGGATTCCCAGTGCCCTGAAGCAAACCATATAGCTGCGCTGTGTATATGGGAGGACACAGCTTCCAGTGTGCAACAACAGAGCAAGGAATCGATTAACAGCCATCTCAGGACATTAGGAGCTAAACAGCTATTCCTAAACCTGGACTAGAAGTCGTATCCCAGGAGAAATGTGCCAAATGTGAGCTCATTTCTTCTCATAGAAGGGCAGCAGCCAGCTGGAGGGGCGGGGAAGGGGGTTGCTGGCAGAGAATGGAGCTGACACCATATCACTTCAACGTGTGCACACTGAGCTCTGTGTAACATTTTATAACAGTGCCTTATAAATCTCAGATGAGTCCTATCTCTCAACCCTCTCACCCACATGAAAAAACACATCAGGAGAGCAATGTGAATGCAAAAGTTTTCTTTCTTGCTCTCACAGACAGAAGTTACAACATTTTGTTGTATTTAAATCCTGCCGTGCTGGTGTAAACACCAGGCATGGGTGATCCAATACACAGCAAGTCCAAGCTGGCTCAGCCTCAGACTTGTCGCCTTATTGACTTAGGGTTTTTAAGGCTAGGGCTGGTTCAGATGCAGGATAGGTGAAATCACTTTTCAGAATTCGGAACCCACCCAAAGGCAGGGGTTCAAAAGTGCATCTTGCACTCCAGGACTTTGGGTTTGTTTTCCACGTAGCAAGAACTGTGGACAGGGAAAAAGCACACAAGGCACACAGCAAGGAGATGAGAAAAAAGTAAAATTGTAACCTGTCATGAGGCTATTGCATGCCAAGTGTTTTCTAAGTGGTAAGAAATGAAAGTATGTGCTGGCTGTGCTGTGCTCAACAGCTTTAAGAAAAAACGGCCAATATACACCTGACACTGAAAGCTCCACCGTGTCTCCAAGGAAGAAGACATTTACATAGAAGAAATTTATATTGGCCATTTTCCTTTTCAGTAAACTGACCTTAATCTTCATATGTTCACCCTCCTAACCTAACCTTTGGTAGAGATCACAATGTTCCACAGTGAGTCCCCTCACAAAACACCATTTTATCTGTGTTTAGAAACCCTGATTCTGACAGTCTGAGCTTGAAGACACTGTTGTATCAGAACAGATTTTGATCAGCATAGCTTTTACTCAGACCTAGGGCATCCCAGCCTCTGGAGCAGATCACAGCACTAAGGAAAGGTGACATAGGTTGCAACAGGCAGATGACACTCTGGTAAGGAGGCATTTCAGACAAGGGAAAAGAACATTCCAAAGACTTGTGCAATTTCAGACAACATCCACAATTATGACCTTTATTCAAAACAAATGAAGCCTCCTGTTTTTCCAGTGGTCTGCCATCTCCCTCAGTTACATCATGGAGATGCATATGTGCTTATTTTAACGACAAGGGGCCATATAAAGAGTTGAAACATTAAGCCTTGGTGGAGGCATGAAAACCAAAAGGGAAATATTTGTGTAAAAAATAGGTAGGAATGGAGGCAAGAATGCATGCAGGCAGAAGGCAGGAAGACAGGCAGTGAGGCAGGAAGGCAGGTAGGAAGACAGGAAGGAAGGCAGGAAGGAAGGACCAGATTTGGTTTGCTTTTTTTTTTTTCCCCCATGAATTTACATTGAACTGCCAACATGGAAGTGGCTAAATGCTGACAGGACATAAGCTGCTGCTACTCCTCTAATGCTGCCCTCTAATCCCATGTGATGAAAATTTTTTCCCTTGCTGTACCCAAAAACCAGAAATGACACACCCACATTTTGAACCAGTTTGCTGCAGAAAGGATATGCATTTCTCTCCATGTCTTCAGCTTATCACAGGGTGGTCAAACAAAGGTGATAAGACACTCTCTCTTGACCTGGTGTTTACCAGCACTGATGGGTGGATGAGCTCATTGGAGAATGACAAGACTTTTAACGTTTGGAGTGGCAGAATATTACAATTAAAGCCATAGCAACCCAAGTTTTTTTGTTTCACATATTTGTTACAGTACTTCCCTTCAGCTAAATCAGATCTTCCATTTTTCAAACATGGCTGGACCTTTAAAGGACATATAAGGGACATACCAGAGGAACTTGAAAACCTTCTCTCTTTTAAAAAGTTACAGGAAGTATGAAAATGTCTTACCCTAAGGACATTTACATTAAAAGAAGACAGCCTTGGGCTTGTTAAGAGCCATTATATTTGCCCTAAGCAACTCATGCTTTTAACAATTCAGACTGAAAGAAATACAGGATTTCAATAAACTAGTAAGTAAGTAAATAAAAAAATAATTCACCCATCTGATGCCAGCATCAAAACAGTAGGAGACCTTATTACTTCCTTTATTTCCTTTCATATCTGGCTCTGTTGATACAGCACAGAATGTGAACAACATACTAGCAAACTTCAAACAGGGACTGAGATTATATCCAACAAAGCTAGAAGGGGAAATTCAACACCCACACAGTATATTCATATGGAAACAAAACAAATATATTTATTTTATGTGACAGTTTGAATTTATTATAAGTTGCATATAATTTCCTGTCTCATTTCTTGAGGACTCTTGGAATTTATTTCAGGATGTCTTACTTTACCACACAACCCTTCCCTCTACCCTGACACCCTCTCTGCTGAACCTCCTCTATGAGAAGTCCTTGAACAGCAGAAATTTTAAAGGATGAAGCTTTGGAAGAGATTTCATAAACACAGTGAAAACAAAAGTGGAAACAATGTGAAAATTAATGTACAGTAGAATCAATGGACATATTACTAATTTCTCTGCCAGCTAGAAGGACTGCCCCTATAAGCAGTGACCAAAAAATCCACAGGTGGCAAAACTATTACGATTTCTACATATGATGGTTTTGTAAGAAAATTGAATCTCACAAATACACACACTGCTTCCCCTCCCCTTCCAATTTGACACAACTTCAGCTACTTTTATAAGAAGTTTGGAAAAGATCAGTTATTACAGACCAAAAAAAAAAAGGTAGTCATATATGGAATTAAATTCTAAAGAGCATACTTAAAAGGTGGATGATAGATGAAAATCTCAGACCTGTGATGAAATTATTCATATTCCCTGTGATAGAAGGACCTCTAGGTGGTCAGATTTTACTAAGCTTTGACTTTTAGTGGTCTGTGTTCACAGACTGTGTTCACACAAGGTTAACAGACTAAGAGATCTCACTCCACGAAATGTACATTCCTTGCTTACTTCCCCTATTTTGCCTATATATACATCTAAGAATTAGAACATGTTGTAACACCTTGAGTATGTGAAATTGGTTAGCCATTTGTTAAGACAAGACTGCTGTCCATAAGGTGATGCAAAAAGCTGGAGAAGCCCACAGCAAAAATTAGCCTTTTCAAGAGTTAGGAAGAAGTTTTGGTTCAAACCAAAGTACAATATTCTGATGAAATAAACACTTCATGCAAGTTTTTGGATTAGTTGTTGTCTACCAGATGAGAAGACTTATTTTAGAACTGTCCTTGGCTTGGGCTGAGACAAATAATTTATTTTTCTTTTTCCTGATCCCCATCATGTTATTATAGCACCTGGTGGTTGGCATGTTTTCCCTTTTTTCTTCCAATACCTTTAGTTTTTTAATTGTTTCCATAAGGATGATCTTACCATTCTTTTTTCTTCATCAGACTGCAATTTCCCATTTTGCCCCCACATAATTATTTCCCATACAATTCCGCTTTTCTTACAAAGTTAAGAAAAATAGCTACAGAAAAGTGATAGAACCAACACTGCTGTTTGCAGATTTGACAATACAACAGAAACCATCAGGTGGACACCTAATGACACAGTTATAAGGGATTAATTTTTTATTTGCTTCAGTGAAAATTTAGTCATGCAGAGATTGATACTCCTCTTCTAACGAATTATTTGTCAGGTCACGTGGCCTTCTCAGACTTTACATTGACTCATGAACCTCCTGAACATTGAAGGTTGTCCAGCTGACAGATCCATGACTACAGGTGACCACATTCCAATCTTCAGACTCTCCACAGTGTTCTATGTCACACCTTCTTTTATGATTCTTTTGCAGCCCTATGAATCTAGCAAAGTCATTAAAAGAACACGTTAAACTTTAGCGACACTGGTGAAGCAGACCAGTAGCTCAACAGTCTACATTAAGTACTGACTTCTTTTCACTAAAATCCAAAACCAAAGAAATTTTCATCACATAACCTTAGTTTAGCTCATGCAGCTTCTGCACTTGGTAGAAAAAGAAATAAGTTTGAAGATTTATACTTCAAGAATCCGAAGGAAGAGGTTAGTAAAATATGTCCCAATATAGAATTCTAGAGTAATATAGCAAGAAATTATAATCATACATACTTAGTAGCATCTAGTCTTTCCTATAAGAAATGGTTTTGTTTTATAGACGTGACATATCTGAAGTACGGCAGCATGGGTCACAAACCACAATGGTGAGATATTTTCACTTTGTAACATGAGAAAATCTCAGCTTTGTGTAGCTGAACTCTGCATTTCAGTTCATCCTCACCCAACAGATCTGAGCAAATGCTAGTCTGTACATGATCTATACATGATCCCACATGAAAATACATTTGTGTTCTTTGGACCTCACACTGGAAAAAAACCCTTTAATATACCTACAATTTTTGAGACAGACAAGCTGACACAGCAGTAGGTAGACCTATCTACACATGAAAGGAAAAACCGTCAAGCTTTATACATTCAGATGTAAACAAGAAACATATTCATTTCACTGCCTAATTGCACTTGTGGTCATCCAAGACAGACCCAGTTAGATAATAGGGGAGTGTAATGCCAAAGAGCCTGGAAGGAATGGACTATTGTATTTGACTATTTTCCATGTATAAATTAGCACAGCAAAAGAAAGAAATCCTGCAGAAAACACATGTACTTTATTATAGTCTCTAGTGTTACTTCTGTAAGTATCACAACAGCAACAAAGAGCTGAAAAATGCTGCTGAAAAGACGCAAATAACAAATGCAAATGTGTTTAAATGTCCTTCTGACATGACGTGATTTGACTTCTAGTTCGGCTGAGCTCATGGCTGGTTTTGGTTTGGCCACATTCCTTTGAGTTAGACAACTGTGATTTGCTTGTGCTAGGCTTTTATTTTTAAACTAACAGAAAGTAAAATCTCTGGAACAAAATGCCTGCTTTCTTTTGTTGCTCTTAAAAGTAGTATTTCCTTAGCATGAAAAGTTCATGGAGCAATAAGCAAAATTCTACAAATATCTGGTCTTTCTCTGGAAAGAGAAACTCCATTCTCATACTACTTTTTCAAGAGAAGCACCTTAGTGTTATGGCTCAGATTCTTAAGAGTAGCTGTGAAAATACTTAGTTCACATAAATGCTAGAGAAACTGGTTCTCTGAGTATGGAGCAAGTTTTAGGACAGTTAACAAAATACACTAGGGACCCTCAGTGACCTGCACTCAACTGGAAATGAATACAATTTCTTCTGAAGAAGGTTAAGAACCCCAATGGAGTAGTGAGCGGCACTCCCTACGACATCACTCCAGGCAGCTGACAGTGAGAGAAAGAGGAGGGCTTATTGCTGTTGCTGCCTGTGGACTTGCCACAGCCTGTGAGGCTGCTAAGGCTCAAATGCCTTAGCATCCCATGTACATAGGCTGTACATGTGCCTGGCTGTGCAAGCTCCTTCCTGAGGTGAGGATGCTCAATGAAGAATTTAGGTGCTACTTTGCTCTACTGTGTCATACTGAAAATTTAGGAACGTGTGATAAATTATTCTAAGAGCAATCCTGTACGCATTTATTGAATAACCTTGGTGCTTACAACTGTGAACTTTTGCTGATGTTACTGAAGTGCCACATGACAAGGAGCTGCTGGTAATTGTTGTGGGAAAGACAGGGCCTTTAGAAGAGATACAAGGTGATACACATAAATCCAAATGTTGATTGTCATAGAGTTCAAACTCATTCTGTCTACTTGGCTAAAGGCTAACATCTAGGATGCTAACAGCCAGGTCACAGCCTGATTTAATGACTTCTTGTTTTTCTCTCGAAAAACATCCATGAGCTTTCTACCATGCCTTTCTACCATGCTGCAATAAACTGCAGTAGGAATGTGTATACCAAGGTATCCTACAACTTATCCCTATCTCTAGCCAAGCTGTAAGTCAAATACTGGAATGTTTACCTAATCTCCTGCTGAAAGCAAGTGAGAGATTTTCTGAACTATGGAAGGAGCAAAAGAATGGTCTGATTGAAAAAGGAAAGTTAAGCTTGCTTCACATCACTATTCTTAAGGTACAAAGAGGTTTGGTGGGAGGTGGGGGGGAAATCTCTTGAGGCAGGGTAAGTCATACAAATAAAAACTAGTATAATGTGGAATATAATGCATAATAGTTGGCACCAGAATGCATTATTTATTTTCATGAATCAGGGACTGAGAACTTAATTCACAAGCAGCAGAATACAAATAGTTTGAGTATGAGCTTAACATGGGGCCAAATCCTGCAGTCTTTACACATTCTTGTTGAGTCATATCTCCTGTTGATCTTCCTTAAATTAGTCCTGCAGGATTTTCTCAGCCATTACTGATCTATTACAGTCATCAGGTGGTAAACATCTAATTTTCATAAATGAAAGAGAATCTATGCTGACTTTATGCCATTTTGTGTGAATTCAGTATTATAAATGGAAAACAGCCTTTTAAACAAAGTAAGACTTTTAGATCAGTACAGACAGCATTCTTATTTCTAGTGTTCAAATAGCATTTAGTGACTCTATCCAAAAAACTGTTCCTTTTTTTTTTTTTTTTAATAATACAATCATTTAAAAGAAGTACTTTGAACAGGGTTATCCTAATGTTTAGCTCTCCATATTGCTACTAAAAATTGTGTTAAGATTAGTTTACAATGATTACAATGGATTGGTTGACACAGATAAATAAGATGGAAGCTGCTATAAAATTAATGCATTTCTTAATGATGTTTTGCTATTTGAACCACTACATTCAACAAAATTCTAGGAAAATGGCAATATACATATGCCAAAATGACTCTGGTATCAAAAGTATATATATATATATATATATATATATATATATTAATATACTTTCTGCAGATCTTCTGATTGCCAGCACGCCACTCATAAAACTAAGTATGAGTCAAAATGGAACATATAATGTCAATCAAACAGCATAGGTATGTCTCTCAGCTGTAAGCATCCTATCAGGATAATCAGGGGAAGTATGCAGGAAAATAATATAGCAATGATCAAGTTTACTGCCCTGAAGTAGACCAGATATCACAGAATGTATCTTTCAAAGGTTGGTATAAACTTGACTCTGTAATAAAGTACAGAAATAATAAGAGCTCATTTAAGCTGGTTTCAGGAAAAAGTTCAGTACATGCTGTACCTGTTTTCTCTGCGTGTGCAAAACTAAAACTTTTTTTTTTTTTTTTTTTTTCTTTCAAGGAAGAAAATTCCAGGAACATTACAGCACGATACAGTTTGATTTAAAGAGCAGAGAAACAGCTCCTCTCTGAATCCCAAGCAGTTAAATCACTATTTACAGGTCATTTAGAAGTTTAGAAAGCTGATGCCAACATCAATTTCTTGGTTCTACCTGCAGCAACCCACAATATCAAGGCTCCAAGTCTGCAGGGCTGTAGAGAGGATAAAACTTACATGACTCGTTCAAAACAAACACTCTCCAACCGCTATCTTGAGAGATTAAAAACATACCCACCCGCATATATGCACGCAGATACAGTATCAGCTAGAGGCGGCACGTATTTTAGGAAAGAAATGGCATTTACCAGGACGAGGGAAGCTAGAAGCAGGGTGCCAGCGGCTGTCCAGCGGCAGCACTCCATGGCGGGGTGGGTGCCGGAGCTGCGGAGCGCCGGGCGGCTCTGTCCCCTCCGGCGCTGGGGCCAGCCTTCAGCCGCGCTTCTCCGCCTGCATCCGCCTCGCTCGCTTCTCCCGACCGCGGCGCGCTGGGCGCCTTGGCGTGAGCTGCGGGGAAGCGCTCCCCGAGCCAAGCCCCCTCCTCCTGCTCAGACGTGCAGCACAACAAAGCCAAGAGGTCTGGGGAAAGCTTAGCAGCTACAGAGGGGAAGGAAAAAGAGAGCGGGAGAGGAGGAGTAGTAGGAGGAGAGAGGCAGAATGGCAGAGGTCTGCCTGCAGCTCCCGGAGCTCCGCTTCGCCACTTGCCATGAGCTGTTCACGCTTACTGCTAGGTCAGTAGCTCTCCTGAGCGTGCATTGTTCCAGACAGGAGGGAAACTTAATCTGTGTCAATACATAACGTGTGCCATAAAAAGCACCAATAGGAAAATGCTTCCAGGGAGAATGCACAGTTTGCTAAAGCTTCGATTCTTTACAGAAAAATGCTCTCTTTTACGCTGTTTGCTCAGCAATAAAGAGCTCTGCATATGCTATAAAATTGTGAAGCAAAAATGTTTTCAACAGGACTGGGTGACAGCCTTTCTGTGACTACATTTTTATTCTTTGGGGAAATTTAAACCCTAACGTATTGGAAGGAAAGTCAGATTACTGGAGGAAGAATTTTGCACAGAAAGTCAAAGACTCACACACCTCAGGAAAGGTGGGAACTCTGCCTTTTAAGTATTAATTTGACAGATAGGAGTTTCAAACAACTGGTCTCAGTCTGTTCAGAGTTCATTTAGTTTGCCTGCCTATGCTTCTGCATTGCCTGAATTCTCCAGTTTGGTGGTTTTTTTTTTTTTTTTTTTTTTTTTTTTTTTTTTAATGTCTGTTTATTTTATTTTCTGGAGGAGAAATTTCAAACTGGATCCAAGAATTTTCCAAAAGCAGTAGGCATTCTCCTACATTGGGCTGAGCTGGATGCCTTGCAGTTGCAACATTTTGGTGCTGCAGGGCACATCACGTCCAGATGGGCATATAGAAAGCCCAGTAAAGTCATGATTCTGGCACATCAGCAAGCTCAGACAATGCAGAAAAGTAAGGTACATATGTGTTAGGGGTGGAGAATAGTATGCTAGCCATGAGTCTTAAAAGTGACTGAAGTCAGAAGCTATCAAAGGAAAAGGAAACTCTGCCAAGGGCCAGGACTGGGGACAGAAAGGAAAAAGGAGCAAGGGTAGACCACAGACTGTTTAAGAGAACTTCACATCAGTAGAAATGAAAATCAGCCTGGAGGAAAAGCTGGATGAACAGATGGAAATTGATACAGACTTCGTAAAACAAAAGGAACTGGGTGGAAAAATGAAAAAGAGTCACAGATGAGAAGTCAGATAGGAGGATAGAAGTGTGTGGCTTTGCATAGCAGGAACAGAAGCATAAACACTGAAGACATCTGAAGGCCAAAATAGAAAAGATATCAACTAGATCGAGATGGGCTTTAGAAAATGAGGCTGAAGAATAAATTTAAAATAAGAAATTAAAGTAATTATTAACAGTGGGAGAAATAGATTTCAGCCTTCACTGCCCAGCAGTCATTCGGTTGGGTACCTTTGGAATCGCCAGGAGAGGAAGCAGGGCCAGAAAGACTGAAAAGGCTCAGTAGGAAGGTGCTATGATGGAAAATGCAGTAGCTGGACTGAACATATCAGGGATGAGAAAAGGTTTGAAACAGGTTCCAAGATTCCTCTATCTAGAGTACATCTCTATGTATCTACATGGAGATACAGGACTTCAGTGACTTCTTCATGAAGGAAAGGAGAGGGATGGACCACTTTGCACTATCAGAAGTGAGGAAGCAACCACAGGATGATATCAACAGAGCAATTATGACTTCTTCTATTGCCCTTTAAAACTCAGGAAACTCAACATATAAATCTACTAAAAATCTAGTGTACCTTTTACAAATAACACCATTATGCCCCCAAAGTAAAACCCTCATATTTTTTTCTTCACCAGCAGTGTCAACACATACACCGAGTGCTGCACAAAAGGATTTTGTCCATACATCTCCTAGCTATTGTTGTATGTTTTCCACCTTACAGTTTTCCTTTTCTACAAGACTAATTGGAGTAATTGGAGAAGTACTTACAGTAGTTTCTGGAATTCCTGTAAATGAAATTCTCAAGAAAAACTTTTAAATGTAAACAGCAAGATTTGTAATATTGAATAGACGAATCATGACTGCTTTATTTTTAAGAAAAAAAACTGCTGCAATTATGATTACATGACTTATAATGGATGGAACAACTGACAAAGATGTTTTCATAACCACATGTTTAGGTTTATTTGTGTGGTTTATTTATTTTTTTCTTTCTCTTAGTCTGACTTTAAACTGGAGATGTTGCACTAACGTTATACAAACTCATTTCTGAATGCCTCATTTTAGGTTTTTCTCTTTCAACTTTGGAAAACGTGGCTTTTTTAAAAGGAAGTATAGGATATTCTTCTTATCTGTACAGAAGGCTCAATAGATAATTGTATCATCTAAGATGGAGTAATATTTTTGGAATTATATTTATATTCAATGTATTCTGTCAGTTTTCTGGTCATGGAACTCCATCACAGCTGATGGGAATGTTGCATGATGAATGATGGTGGGAGACAGGAGTTTATTATACAACAGAATCATAGAATCATTAGGTTGGATAAAACCTTTAAGATCACCAAGTCCAAATGTTACTTTAACACTGCCAAATCCACCAATAAACCATGCCCCAAGCACCACATCTACACATCTTTTGAATACCTCCAGGGATGGTGACTCAGCCACTTCCCTGGACAGCCTGACAACCACCTCGGTTCCCAATATTTCATCTAAACATCTCCTGTTTCAGCTTGAGGTTGTTTCTTCTTCTCCTACCACTTGTTTACTGGGAGAAGTGACTGACCACCAACTCAAAGCTGTAGACAGTGGCCAGGTGTCTCCTCAGTCTCCTTTTCTCCAGGCTCAGCACCCCAAGCTCCCGCAGCCACTCCTCACAGAACTTGTGCTCTTCACCAGTTCCCTTACTCTTTTTTGGATGAGCTCCAGAACTTCAATTTCTTTCTTGTAGTAAGTTGAATGTCTTACAGTAATGCCACAAAATTATGTAGTCTGCAATGTTCAGACATGTCAAAAAGGTGACTTTAAAGAGCTTTCTTTATTCAAGATATGTGTTTAATCACTAGCACAGCAGCATGATATTCATAATAGCATTACAATACGCCTAAAATTCACCATGACTGATACTCTGTTGCACATTTAAAATTTAGACCAGAGTCTAAAATGCAGCTTGAAATTTGTTTTCACAATGAACTCATGCAAACCATGTAATTTTTTTCATGAAACCACATAAATATTCTTAATAAAAACCACTATAAATAAAAACCCACATTCTTCCAACAGTTTGGCTTTCAGTTTTCTGCACATAGTTGAACTTAGAAATCAAAGTGAAATTCAGGGAATGGAAACACATGAATCAAGTCCAAGGGAAAGGTCTACTCAAATTCTTGCCTATAGCTTTAATGAGCAGTCATGCCCAATATCTGCCAATTTCTACAGAACTGCATTGGATCTACCTAAAGGCTCATTTGAATTATTCCTAACTGGAAAAAAAAAAAAAAAAAAAAAAAAAAAGGGAAAAAAAAAAAAAAAAAAGTTAAATTTACAAAAAAAAAAAAAAAAATAAAAAACGGAAAAAAAAAAAAAAGAAGTTAGATTTACTGAAAAATTACATTAAGGCATCAGCTATCTGAAAGGGCTCTAAAGCCCATCTCCATGTCCTGCTGTTTAGGTCCAGGACTTTATTGTATTGCACATATGCATTTGTATGGAGTTAATTTATTTGTCATGCTGAAATTTCATTCTATATATGGAACACGATTTTGGGATTATGGAGTGTGATATTTCTTTGGATGCACATATATATATATATAAAATAAAGTCTCCACTACAAAGGAAAAGATGCTCTAAACAAAGTAACATTGCCTGAAGAGTGCAAAAACTCGGGCCCTGTTCATATCCAGATTTTCTCTGTCATGTACCCCAAGTGAATACAAGAATTCAGAACAATAAAAGACTGCTATCTGAAGCTGAAGGGATATGTTAGCCAATGTGGATGGTGCCTAATGTGCCCAGCACTGTTGTTTCCCCAGTAAGACAGAGGTTGTTTTTAGCAAAATCTTAATGCTACAGATGAATTCCTGAGACACTCAAAATCATTTGCAAAACGTGGTAATAGAGATTAGTGAGTCTAGGATTGCATTCAGCACCACTTTCTGAGTACACATAAGCAAATATGTCACCTCCAAACCCTGACCTTATAAATACATGCCCTTCACCATCTCAAGGGAGATTGCACAAATACTTGCTACTCTGTTCTGAAAATTACACCTTCCACTTTCTGAAGTGGTTATTCATTCCAGTTTTCCTTCACCTCTGACAGGTGTTAAATTAAATCTGTTTGCATCTGTTTGAAAGAAACAGAATTCATAATTGACACTGTACTCTACCTATTAGAGATAATATGAAATGGAAGTAGAAGCCAAGGTGGGTGTCTGAAGCAGTATTTTAAGCTTTACAGATTTAACAATACTTAATTTGAAAAACACACATGCAGACAGAAAAAACCTGTTAACATCAATATACTTTCTAGCAGGAAAGAGTGAACTCAGCTTTGGAGCTGATCTCCCTGGTGAGAATATGTTACCATTGTCACTCAGAAGACACCTGTCTCTTCCTGATAGCTGGACCTCTTTTTTGCCATGCAGTCTGTAGCAAATGGAATTTTTAAATTTTTTCTACTTTTTCAGTTAGCAGTAGTTCTTAGATTTTTTTTTTTTTTTCTATTGTAAACCTGGATTGATTTCTGGAAATCTGGAAGCTTGTGCAAATATAGAAAGTGAGAAGTAGAAGGGAGCCAGTGCTTTATAAGGAGATATAAACAGGATTTGCATTTACATGTGTGTGTATCTCTGTGTGCCTTCCAAGGCTGTGAAGGAAGCTAGAATGAAAGCTATAAGGACTGTAATATTCTGGAATGTCTAGGTACAGCTCATTTAGATATACATGAAAGCACTTTAACCTCAAAGGTTAAGGTGCTGATGCATACAAACCTTTACCTAGACCTCCAACTTGAGATAAGACTCAAAAGTATGATAGGAGGAACAATACAGCTCTGAACAGTAAGAAATTCCTTATTCGTGCCTGGCAGAGAAATAGATATATAGTTCAGCCTTCAGATTCATCAGGTCTTTACCCTTTCCGAGAGACTGGTTGCCATGAGCACTGGGGTGAAATGATGTCACTTTGGAACAGGTGCACTGTGA